GGTGTAGGCTTGTTAGCAGGGAAAGTCAGCAAATGCTGGGTGACACGCTGGTGTGCCTGAAATGCCGCTTGTACATGAACATCTCATCCTGCAAGAGCCTCTGGTCTGAGCAGTGCATTGTGCTATGCAGATATGCACCCAGATAGCCTGAAAAGTGGTGGGTTAGGTTGGAAAGGAACTGCAGGCCCTTATGTAACTATCCATACTGGGGTTACTGCCTGAATTGTGTGCTCAGGCAGTGTACTTGGAGCAGCTCCATCCTCCTCTTCCTTATTTTCCACCTAGCATCTCTGACAGAAGTGACCAATTCTGCCTAGCTAGGATTTGACATTTCTCTGTATAATTCACATGTTGTTCTTGCATATCATCCTGACTTTAAGAGGCTGAAGTAAGTGTAAAACTCTGATTTGAATGATGTAATCTCAGATTATGTATAAGTCTTAAAACAGAGTGCCTTTTGATTAGGTGTTAAATGAGGTAACAATGTGTATCTTAGTTTTGAATTTCATAGCTCTTGTGAACATAAACCTTAAAATATGTGTAGGTAAGTTCCCCTTTGAGGGTGTCCCTGGCTACCTCAGTATTTCCAAGTCAAGAATACCTGCCACTTTCCTTCAGTGAGCAACACCTATATTGCCTGAGCATATCACGTCCATCATATCAGATTTATTCACTGCAGATATTTTTTTCCTGAAAATACATCGCTGTTTTGAAATATTAAATAGCACTTTGTGGGCTGATCACTAAGATCTACCAGCAAAGATCTATTTATAACAACATTTTCCTAGCTGACTAAACCTTAGGTAAGAGGCTAGAGAAATTAGCCTTAAACCTAAACCACTTACTGTAAACGCAATGGGCAGAGAAAAATTTGAGGAGTTAAAATAATAGGTTTGCTTTGGACCAGAGAGGATAGAACAACACAACGTATCTCCATGCTTGAAGGCAACATTTAGGAGTGAGCTTTGCGACTCTTCCATCTTCTGTAGATGGATAAATGTCTTATCTCAGTGTCAATGCCCTTACAACAGTAAAGCAGAGTGAAAGCTAAAATATCCGCCACATCACAGTCCTGCTGTACCTTACCCTCCACATGCTGCACACTTGGCTCAGTTATGGCTTGCTCGCAGGACAGGTCATAGCCTCCACATTGCAGCCTCTTAAAGAAAGGTGTTAGAATGATGACTAAGAGGGAAAACTCAATAAAAAATTAAATTTAGGATAAATTTCCAGGTAACTGCAAAATAGGTAGTGTTTGGAAGTTAGAAAATAGTAAGGTAAAATGAAGGAAGAACTTGGGCAAGGGGGGAATATTAGGCAAGGAATATTTCTGGAAATTTATTTATCCCTAATTCCATGCAAGCCATGCAAGTCTGTGTGTGTAAAACCATAGTCAGAATCCTAGTCATTTAGAAGAGCTAATTCTTACCTATTACTCTTCACTTAGAAGAATCATCTCAGAATTAAAAACAGGATAAGTGTATTTGGTTCTAACATAAGTTAGAGTGGCTTTTCTCCTTTTAAAACAATTTTCTGTGCCTGCAGGCACTTGGAGGTGTCCCAGGAAGTCAGCCATTATTGCCTAGTGGGATGGACCCGACACGGCAGCAAGGTAAAGTACATTTATAGAATAATTATATTGAAAGCTCAAACCTACCATGATCTCAGACTTTAGTCTTTCTATGTTTAAAAGTTTACCACAGTTTTCTAAGCTCTTCATTAAACTAAGAAAGAGTGATTTGTTAAAGCTTTTTCCGAAGATGCTTCTAAATTACATGGTTGTTCAGAATACTTGATTTTTGTTTCAGGGCATCCAAACATGGGTGGTCCAATGCAGAGAATGACTCCTCCAAGAGGAATGGTTCCTTTAGGACCGCAGGTACCTTCCACAGATTTATATCCATTTATTTTGACAGGATCTATCACTATAGTGTTTTTGGAGTTGAAGACTTAGTGTGCTAGAAACTGCTTGTCTTACTCCATTTTAAAATAAATTGTATTTCTTTTAAAAAAGTTAATTCTGAGTTGCAGTTCTATAGAATCTCAAATTCAAAAAATCAGTTATTTTAATTAACAGTTAAAATTAAAAGTTGCTTACTTCAGAAAAGTTATCTTTGTGCCACAGCCTGTGTATGTTGTAATTAAAAGCTAAAATTTTTAAAGGAACACAGGGATTAAGGAGATATTTTCTTTTCCTCCCAGTCTAATTAATGTAACTGTAATGTAAGGTAACTAAAAGGGAAAAATCCATCTCATAATACAACTAAATTAGTCAAACCTCTTGTAGCAAAAAAATTCCCCAAAATTCCTGCCAAGATTTTTCTTCATCTACTGGAATTCTGGTGAGTGCTAGAGATCTTTTGTTGTAAAACTTGAAGTTCATGCTGCCATTTTTCCTTCTTATCAATCATAAGTATATCTTATAATCATAAAACTCCTGTTTTCAAGGAGTGAAGCAACCTTGAAATGCACAAATCAGCTTTACCCCCTAGTGCTGATCTGTTTGTAGCTGTGTATGGGGTTTTTTCTTTGAAAGTGTAAAAATATCAATGGATATATCAGTGTTGCTGTTTAATAATAAATTAAGATTAAAAAGCAAATTAACACTGATGTATACCTGAAAAAATGAATCCAAAGACTTTTTTTTTGTTAATTCTCTCCATGAAATACTACTTTGGTGGTGTTTTTACAGGTCTGGCAGGTATTTTGTTCTCCAATGTGCTGATTGTGCCCACATTTAAATTTTTGTTTCCTCATTTCAGATAATTTCTCTAGTGTCTTCTTTGTTCCTTAGAATAGCAACTGAATTTTAAATGATTAAATAGATTTAATCTATTATCTCTATATCTGTTCATAACTGCCTTTGCAGTCTTGGGTCTTCTTGATAGAAACTAATTGTGCAGTTCTACACAACATCTGTTGTGTGACCAACAAACTGTTATTAAATACATTTGTTAGTTTTTCTGTAGGATTGAAGTATATTTACCACTTGCCTTTTGGAGGTAGGAAGCAAAGCTTTGCCGTGCTGCCATATGAGGTTGAGCTGATACTTTATGCAGCACCATTAGTCACACAGCAGGCAAATCTCATGCCAGTTTTTACAAGGATGATTTTTTCCATTTTTGCTGTCTCTTAAAATCCTAGGGTTTTTTTGGTAAGATTTTTCTTTCTTTTGCTGTACACCATCTTAAGATGGGGAAAAATACAGCCAATCTACCACAGATTTAAGTTCCCAAATCAATCTTTTCTATAGATGAATCACCATCTATCCTTCTACCTTGCTGTTAGGAAGTTTTTTGAAAGCTTTTGAAAAGAAAAACCCACTAAAGTGATAAGATTTTTCACGCTTATTTTCAGATCCTTGTAGCTGTTAAGCGGGAAGCCCTGCTGCCTTACTGCCTAAGCAGAAAAAAACAAAAAAAAAAAAAAAAAGAAACCTTTAATTAATATGTGGATACACAAAGAATTATGTGAAATGCAGCATGTGTTTGTTTGCTTCTCAGCTGATACAAACCTCTACCAGTGGGAACTTTCAATGCCCATATGATATGTCTGTACTATATACTTACAGCAATAAAGATCAGGACAGTAAGCAATTTTTTTCATTATAAAGCCATACCTTATGTAGTGTGACTGAAGTCTCCCCAAAATAGAAGAGTTACTCTTTTTTTCCTTGTTTTTTGGAGGGGGGGCAGGCTGTACTTTTTCAAACTAAGCAATATGAAGCAAAAAAAAAAAAAAAAGGCAGTATAGAATCATAAATGAGTCTGTCACCACTTCCAAAGGATGTGTTTCAGTCTTTTTCAAGCAGCAGTTACGCCAGCTGAACAGACTGCTGTCTCAGATCTGTGCCTGGCTATTGATTCCTCATCTCTCATATTAGCTGGTGAACTAATGTATTATAGTCAAAAATAACTAGGTTATCTTAAATATTTAAAAAATAAATATTGATTGATCTGGCTGATTTTGGCCACCAGGTTTTAGTTGACACTCTTACAAACAACTCAACCACGAGATAAGCAATGGCAATGGTGACTACAAGTAAATAACCGTAAGGAGCAATTAGGGCAATAACCTGTGCAGGGAGCATAGCTGCAACTGTGTGTCAATGATTGTAATGAAAATGCTCTTACTTTAGGAGCAAGAAGCTTTTCCAGCCCTGCAGGATTTGGTAAAGAACTTTAACCGCACAAATGAACTAAAATTAAGAGAGGAGACATCTGACAGATCAAATAAGGAGAAAAGTTTAGCCCTCCAAATCAAGATTAAAAATAAAAAAGGAAAAAAAATCCTAGTCTATTACAATAAGTCTGTGTTCTCTTCCAGATCTAATAGTGGTGGCACCGAACCTGTGATTGTGCCCAGTTGCTTTTTGCTACCCACAACTAACTGTTTTGCAGTTATGAACTAGGAGTTGTTAGTGTGAGCATCCTCTAATCCACATCAGGCAAAATTATCTAGAGTAACTCAGGCTAAGTGCTTTGAGTTAATCTGACTTTTGCCAGAGTGTGCACATCAATCAGTTTGCTGGCTGTACAAGAAAAGGCAAAAATGAGTAGTGGTTGATGGCCAGCAACTATTGACTGCTGTGATCTTCAGGTGATACTGTTGGAGTTGGCAGAGGACATCTGTTTGTAGCCTTTGCACCTCATTTTGCAAACAAGCTAACTACGAGACACTTTGAGGACTATCTACCAAAGAACCTTGTCCCATGGTTCTGGATCAGCTGTAGAGCTAGGTAAATGTTATGGCTTGCATCACTTGATGTATATGCAGCAGCAGACCAAAGCTCATGATCCCGTTTCTCCCAGAGGTTCATGGCTTCATATTACCGTGTGCTTGGGAATCTCACCAGTATAGAGAAAACCCATAAATTTGAGTCATATAGTTTATGTAGTTGATAGCTTGGATATATAGTTTGTAGGATAACTGTTACAGTTATCCTAAGCAGCAATGGCTTAGAACTTTAAGTAAATAACTTGCTTGCCCTCTTTCCAAGTGCTCAGTTGTTCATTTTGGAGCGCATTCATTCTCTAATTATGCCTCTGGAACATCAGAAAAAAATGTAGCAGGATTAACACAAATTACAGTGTGAATTAATGTCATGAGATGAGACAGATTATTCAGCTTGTGTTCATTTAAATAAAAAAAAGATAATTTCTCTTTTTTTGGAAATAGTAAAATTTCTAGGCTTTTCTCATAAAATCATGAAAGCATGAGTTCTGGTCATATAGACCTTGGGCAATTCATTTATTGGCATTGTTAAGACCTTCAATACCATGTTAAATAATTTTCATACTAATTGCCTTAAAGTGATGAGGATTGGTTCATTAGAAGCAATATTTAGTAGTTATTTTATATGTTATAAAGGTGTTATCATATATTGTAATTTCACAGAGCCATTTATTGGTGGCTTATGGTTGGTTTGTTAATAACATCTAATTTAAAATATTTTAAATAATTTGAATTTCATAATCTTGAAATCTCAGAGAAGTCCACATTTCTGATTTTGAATGAGCTTCCCTGATATCAAAGTTGGATACATATAAAACCTGCCCCACAGTGGCCATTGATTTGACCTTTGTATATGTAAGTAACTCCTCCTGAAATAATAGACTTTTTAAGCATTCTTAGCATGTTCCTATTGTTTGAGTAGAACATATAATTCTTTTTCCTTGGGGATAACAATATTGCTTTTTAAAGTCAAGAATGGAAACTCCTGAAACAATTAATTACATTGGCCTATCCATTCAGCACTTACGTAGGGATATCATTAACCTACTGTCCTTTCTTTCCCCCTCCTCTTTGGTTTTGTTTTTTTGTTTTGTGGTAGTCTGACCCTTGGTTATCATTGCAGAACTATGGAGGTGCAATGAGACCCCCACTGAATGCTTTAGGTGGCCCGGGGATGCCTGGAATGAACATGTAAGCACAATAAAATCTTCTAATCTTAGAAAATCCATTATTTCATTGCAGAAGTAACATTTGTGATGGATAAGATAAGGGAGGGTATGTTTTGGCTGGTAAAGTTGTCCTTGGTTTTTTTTTTTGGCTAATAACTGCAATTAAAAAGAGGTAAACCTACAGTTTTGTTCTTCTGCATGCATTTCTTACAGGCTCCTTTGCTTTCCCT